AATCACACTTCAACTATCAGTAAGTAATCGTATGTTTTTTGTTTTCGAGCAATTGCTGTAACATTTTTTCTATAATCAATTGAAAATGACATGCTGAAGTATTGTTATTTTGACGTGTAGTTACCGGTTTAATGGCTCGAACCTGCAATCACTTTACTGTTGGACATTGCATGAAGGCTAAACGAGATATGGCTCTTCAGTTGGCTAAGAAGAAAGCAAGTCTGACTAGTGCAGGTAAATTGAAGGTAAATTTTATTTATAGCACTATTTTTACAACACGCTTTGTTACTCTTGCTTGACAATCGAAGATGTGTATTATTATAAATCTACAAATATCTGTAATTTTATCATGTCCTGCATTGATTATTGACGAACTATTATATTGAGAATGCAGTTTTCTTCTCAATTCTGAGGCAAATAAACTCTGTGAAAAGTCTAAAAGCTTGGTTGCTATATGTCATGGGGAAAATGTGCAAAGCAACAGGGTGATATATGATCTTAGGTTTCCAGTTGTGTGCTTTTTAATGGGATATTTTCTAGGGTAGTAAATTTCTTGTAAATTATCCATTAACTCATTGAATGCCATTGCGCCCTGATGCGCCCTACGTTATTATTTTACTCCAGACGATTTTACTCGTCAAGGGGAGATGATTTTACTCGTCAAGGGGAGAGCGCTGGCGCTTAATGGGTTAACTGGCTTGTCTGCCCATGCGTCTATTTAACCCATTGAGTCACATTGCGCCCTGATGCGCTCTACATTATTATTTTACTCTGTCTAGAGAGTGGGCAGAGCGCTGGAGCTATATGGGTTAACTGCCAGAGCTCTGCCCTTGATTAGTAAATTTGTGTGGCCATAGACAAGGTAATATGATAATTTATATTAGGTGCATCTGGGTGCACTGCAGGTCGCATGTATTGCAGCTCAAAGGGTCAAGCAAGTGGAGCGCATTAGTTACTTGCTCCATTGAAATATGTTGCAACCTACCATTTGCAACCTACCATAAATTGCTGCTTTGTAATATTTGCCCAGGCTATCCTTCAATGTGTACTATCCCTTGTAGAATCAAACACTATTTAATTGCTATTTAATTCTATTTTATTGGGCTATTTAATTCCTATTTGTCAAAGTATTTATTCCCTATTTTTACTATTATTTTTTTTCGAGGTTTTTCCTATTTAAATTAGGGTAGAAAGGCTATTTTTTTCCTATCCAAGTGGAACCATATTTTTTTCCTATTCATGATATATTTCTAAACAAATACTTAATTGATGTACTCGAATAGAAATTAAATAGGTTTCAAATATGATAAAAATAGAGCTATTTAAGGAAATTATTAAAAATATATAGTTTTGACATAGTTAATAAATATGTTTGAAATAGTTTAAACATAGTGACAATATAGGTAAAAAATATGTAATAAATAGCTGAAATGAGTTTCAACTAAGTTTAAAATAGTCAATAAATAGTTGAAAAATAGTGATATTATAGTTTAAAAATAGATAATAAATAGTTCAAAAATAGTGATATTATAGTTTAAAAATAGATAATAAATAGTTCAAAAATAGTGATAATATAGTTTAAAAATAGACAAATAAATAGTTCAAAAATAGTGATAATATAGTTTAAAAATAGATAATAAATAGTTCAAAATAGTGATAATACAGTTTAAAAATAGATAATAAATAGTTCAAAAATGGTGATAATATAGTTTAAAAATAGATAATAAATAGTTAAAATACATCCCAGCTTGTTAAAAATAGATAATAAATAGTGGATATAATTTTGCCCAAATAGATTAAAAATAGTTAAAAAATAGTAATAACATATTAAATAAATAGTTAAAAATATGTTCTGTTAATACAGTTAAAATAGCTATTAAATATAGTGTATACAAATACATATATAGCCTATAAATATTTTTAAAATACTGTATATTATAAACACCAGTAGTTAAAACATAGATAATAAAAAGTTAAAACATATAATGTAAATGGTCTTTAAATAAAATATAATTATATTAGTAAAAGAAATTGAGAACAAGACTTGTTTTAGTGTAGAAGTGCTGAAACATCAGAGGCTATTACAGACCTACTTTAGTATTTATCGTCTATAAATGGCAGACAATTTTACTTATCAGTACCGGTAGGTAGAGGTCTGTTAATAAATGAGTTAAAAATCTGTAGTTAGCAGTCTCTATAGTAGCCAAAGAGTTTAGTATATACATACAGTAATTTGGCTGGGGACTGGGCAGAAGAAAAGCAAGAACATCATGTAGCGAAGCTCGACGGCAGCTAAGTTCAGGCCTTCTTTACAAGTTAGAAAAAACATTTATATATTTGAATAATACCCTGAATCTAGCTGGATATTTTTCAACTATCCAGCATATATCCTGTATGTAGCTGGATAGCAAAAAACATTCTATCTTGCACACTCCTACAAAGAACTTCAAGTAGGTAACATAAGAGGAAATTGCTCCTGTATAGGTGTTATTGGTAATACTTAGGTGAGATATGGGCCAGCATGCCACAGTCGGTAAGTAAATTAAAATTGTCTACCATGAAATGTCAGATTTATATAATAATATCAAAGTACTTAAGTAGGAAGTGTTATATGTCAACTTGAAACATGGGCAGAGTCTAGCACTCTAGCTAGACACTTCCCTTGACAAATAAAATTGTCCGCCATTAGGCAAGATAAAATTTAATAACAAAGGGGCTCATTGGAGTGAAATGGGTAATTCCTAAACAATCAAACCCTTGCCGGGGTGTCTCTAAAATATTTAAATTGAAGCCCAAAGTTGTTACATATATTATTAAGCAGATCATGAAGACATGTTGTGTAACTAAATGTATTCATAAGTTTGAACAAGCAAACTAAGGACTTTAACTGTTTCCAGTTAGGGACACATCTATAATCAAGTTGCCACATATGACAACAACATGAGAATTGAGTAGATGCCATCATGTCAAGCTATATTATTTTATACAACAAACACTGGAATCTGGCAATCTGTCATATACACTATAGTATACACAAAAATCAAAGTATACTATTTGGCATTACAATAAACATCATTTATAAGTATAAAGGCCGAGTCAAATGTAAGCCTTTCTATAAAACTAATGTTGTTTTAATTCAAATATTGTCGCAGCAAATTGAAATTTTAAGCCGGAACATGTGCTCAAAATTCACGAATGAAGATAGCAAATATTTCCTTTCAAAATTGCTCTATTACATATAAAACATAACAAAATTCTTACCTGAACGTTCCCCAGTCATCCCTGATCTTTTATCTTCAAAATGATTAACACTTTCGCTCAATAAAAGCTCTGTATTTGAGCCATTTCGAGCGGAAAGTTTAAACTAAAAATATTTTAAAATATGGCGGTGTCACCGGTGTGAATTGTGACGCTATCCCAGAAAGCTTTGCGCGCGTTGTAAGAAAATTAGGCACCAGTCTGTCAAACCGCGCTCGTCGTGAGAATTTTTGGTGGTACTCATGGTGTTTTGTCAAAAATGCTGTTTTGTCAAGAGACAAAATACCTACCTCCACAAAGTCCACAAAGACTATAAATATTTTTGTAAATATAATTTCAATGAACTGACGAAAAATTTAAAATTAATTAACTCAAACTGGGAAATTTTGACCAGTTAAATAAATACGTTTACTCTTTCTAAATTCTCACAACTTTCTATTTGAATAGGAAATAAATAGCTTTGAAGATCTAATTATTTTGCTATTTATTAGCTATTTTAACAATAGCTCTAAAAATAAAAGTAAACATAGTTTAAAAATAGCTATTTAATAGCCATTTTGAACAAAATTCGCCACAACTAATTTCTATGTGAATAGGAATTAAATAGCTATTTAAGATCTATTTATTTTCCTATTTAATAACTATTTTAACAATGCTCAATAATATCTCCAAAATAAAAGCAAACATAGTTTAAAAATAGCTATTTTATAACTATTTTGAACAAAGTTCGCCACAACTTCCTATGAATAGGTATTAAATAGCTATTTAAGATCTATTTATTTTGCTATTTAATAACTATGGTAAGAATTGCTCCAAAGAAGATAAGCAAAAATAGTTTAAAAATAGCTATTTAAAACTATTTTAACTGACTCGTCTGTCATCAATAGGAATTAAATAGCTATTTAAAAGCTATTTTATAGTGAGATTCCGTCAATTAGTCGTATACTATTTTATGAAATTTGATAAATAGTAATAAAATAGTCATATTTTTGAAAAAATACGGAAAAAATAGGGCTAACTAGAGAAAAAATAGGCATAAAATAGGTTATAAATATGTCGGATTCTACAAGGGATGTTATACTGCAGTCTGCAAGTATTTGCAAGTAATCTTGTTGGTACTCTTATGTTCTATTAGGTCGAGAATCAAATACGTACACCCACAGCCCTGTCTAAGACGGCTCCAAGTACAGCATTTAGACGACGTAAAAAAACATATCAAATGGCAGCAAGAATTCATGGTGCAACCAATGGCAACAAGAGGCCTGCACTTGATGGTCTATTCAGTTGAGACTCTTCAGAAAAAATGCGAAACAAGTGAGCTTGGTGACTATGTATTATCTAACAACAAAGTAACAAAATATGTAATTATGAAAAAGCAGAAGTTACATGAACATACATTTCATACTTCTATGGCTAACATTCTCCGAAGCATAGCCACATATTACACAGCAGGTGTAATGGGAAAAAGAAAATACCAAGCAGTGAGAGTAGCAAGTAGCATGACTTCTTGTGCAAAGAAGAAGGGGGGGGGGGGCAAAACAGCTATAACTTTTATGCCAGATTGCCCAATCCCAAAGTTGCTTACATATAATGCTTTAATAAGTGAGATAAATAAGATTGATATAGGAATAGTTCAGTCAGGCGCAGATGTTTTTCCAACATACATAGAGGATGAAAACATAAGTGGTTGTTTCAGCGACTTAAGAGCATACTTACCTAGATTAGTAGCTTTTTATTTAAACATGCAAACACGTAGAGATGCTTTGAAATGGTTTGGTGAGGCAGACGGCAAATTTATGGTTGCATTTGGAGGGGACGGTTGTCCATTTGGAAAAAATGGAACGGCTTGTTCTTTCCTGGTAAGTTTTCTAAATGCTAGCAAACGGGTTGCCTCCAATAGTGACAACGTCTTGGTGTTTGGTGCTAATTGTGAAGAAACTTCCAAATTGGTTAAAGGTTATGTTCAGTCAGTTTATAAAAAAATTCATGATCTTGTAGGTAAAGTGTTTGAAATAAATAGTCTTCATGTCACATTTCAATTTCAAGAGTTCCCAAACGACATGAAAATGCTTACCATGCTTGCCGGTGAACTATCTAACGCGGCCACATACTTTTCTTCATTTGTAAATGTGTCTCAACATGATTTAACTGATTTGAATGGGAAGTTTGGGTATGACACTACCTGTAAGTGGAAACCTCGGTCATTCGAGCAACGAATTAGGGTGGCAAACAGTGTAGAAAAATTTAAAAAGGCGCTTGAGTCAAAGAAAATTGCAAAAAAATCTAAGCGGTCAAAAGTAACTGAATTTATATCTAGTCAGAAGACTCGCCAAGAATTTCCGCCACTTATTGGGGAATTTATTAACAATGCCCAGCCTAGTCCCAGCCGTTCTGAAGCAAGCGCGAGAAAAAACGTGGATGTAGTACGAGACTGGGATCTAGGTGTGACGTCACCGCTAAAGGTGCTTCAGAACGCCTAGCAGATTTCAGCATTTTTAATATGGCGGAAAATTTATGTATACAAATAACCTTGTAAATACGACAATGTTCGCTGATCATGTTCGATGTTTGCATACCCAAATTCAAAATGTATTAAAAATGTGCTCAATTAAAAAAAATTATATACAAATTTACGATACTGAGTCTGAGGAATGGTCGTATAATCGTTCATGTTATTTATATACTCGCAAGTTATGATCAACACTAGACCATACTGGTATACACAACTACTCTTTCTACATGACAGGTTTAAATAGCTGGGGAGATTGGAAATATTTGCCTGACATGACTGTGTTGTCAAAACATTCTTAGTCGGAAACTCAGAATAATTTTCACGCTTCTAGATAGCATTTAATATGGTTTTATATTTTAGTAAGCACGAGTCATATTTAGCCCGTTATTCCATTCTGATCGTATGGTAGCGAAACGTAGTCTATTTCATTGTTCCGAGAGCATTAGAGCAAAACTAATGACTTAATTATAAACGAAATTTCCATAACATTTTCTATTTACAAATGCGGTATGCTTGGTAACCAGGCCAGGGACTACTTTTTTGAAATCAGGGACCATTTTACCGAAATCTGCTAGGCTCTCTCGCTGAAGCGTTCCGCATAGCACACCCAGGCATAAAACTTTTAAGACTTATTTAAATATATCAAAGCAGCAAATAGAGAGAGAGAGAGCCTGGGACTAGGCTGAACAATGCCCATGTTGAGACATTACATATCAAAAACAATGCATGGCAGTATTTCTTCAAAACTGTCTTAAAAGAAGCACTAGGGAAGTCAGGGCTTTCACGATTTTATTCTATTTTTGCAGATGTACCGACCAACAGTTGCTTTTACAAAGTAATTTACTCCCTTCAGTATGAAGTTAAAGCCTGGTTCACATAAAATCGTTAAGCAGTTGCAGACAGTCGCAGACATGTGCCGAATTTTTATATGAACACAAATGCAGATTCACGCAGACTGTCTGAGACCAGATCGGCGACGGATCGGGAAAGTTGAACTTGGTTCAAGTTGAACTTGGTTGAACTTGGTTCAACTTTCCCAATTCGTCGCAGATCGTTCATATAAAAATTCGGCACATGTCTGCGACAGTCTGTGACTGCCTGCGATTGCTTAACGATTTTATGTGAACCAGGCTTAAGCCAAAGCGATTGGCCAAGAAGGTCAAGAAATGGTTTGATGAAACCCAAGGTAGACAGGCAGATTTACAATATCGTTTTACAGGCAAAGAGTCTAGGTTGTTCTGTCACAACTTTATGCAATTAATTACGTCATTCAGCAGTGAAGGGGATAGCAAAAAACAAAAGCAGACAGTGTTGGCATTAGTTTAAATAGGTACAAGATTGCGAGATTGCTGCTCTATTTTGATAGGTTTGATATGAAAGAAACTGACATATCAAAACTGAATAGTTTGGCAGTAGAGTATTTCAGAGCCAATGCAATGTTCCTTCCAACTTCAGTTAACCCTACTAGATGGACCATTGGGCATGTCTTGCCAATGCATGGCAAGCAGGTTTTTGATGCCTATAACCAAGGGTTCCTAACAGTCACAATGGGGAGCAGGGAAGCAAAACATGTAGCATTACAACGCCTTAGTTTTAATAGTACCCATAAAAAAATGGGAACAGATATTTAGGCATGAGTTTATAATGTTGATTTGGCTACCAGAACAAGGCCATGAACCATGTTCATATACCCCAAGCAAAAGTGTTTACATTGCACGCAGAGTGTTTGATGACCCCTCTTATTGTTATTGTGGATTACAGAAAGCAGATCAAACTGATACAGGTTGCTCTTTTTGCACCGACCCTCTGCTTTGTCTTATTGATGAAAGTGTTAGCCAAGGAAAGATATTGCCTGGTCTAGATAAGTGATGTTGATTGATGTGGGTGATGTCGGTTAAGGTTTCGATGTCTTTGTTATGGTTCTTTTCTCACAAATTGCATCAATTTCTACATTAATGCACTAGTATTGCAGTACTTTTTCAGAATATTTAATGCCAAGTGTTTTAACACCTTTTTATTATATATGCATGCACGAGCTAAGCGTATTTATACAAATTGCTAAACTGTCACATAATGTTGTATATGATTAATGTATTGATCTTTATTTAAAAGTTTAACATTGTAAATTTTTAATAAATAAAAAAACAAACACAATCGTTGTGCATTGTTCAACTGTGAATGACATTAACAAGCAGCAAAAGGTCTACTCACTACCTAAACAATAAAAACAGATTTGACGTTTAAAGCAAAGGCTCAGCTTCATCAGGAACTAATTTCCGACGAAGGGCCTCGGCTCGAAACATCGAATCTGGTTTTATTGTTTAAAGTGGAAGTCAAGTCCGTTCTGTGCATCTGTTCTGCTTATAACAATGTGAGGACCTCTAATGTGAAAATTGCCCAAATATCGGATGTTTTAAATTTTTCTGAACATAAAGTCTATTTCATAATCACTTAGGGCCTGTTTATATCATCCCGCCTAGACGGGACGGGACGTTTTCATCCCGCCTAGACGGGATACTCACACAGGGGCGTAAAAAGCATCAAAAGATTGGGGGGGGGGGGCAACGGCTTCTAGGGGCAATTTAGGGTATTGAATAAAGGGCACCTAAAAAAATTTTCCCGGAAATATTGATGATGGGGGGGGGGGAGATAGAAAAACTTTCCCGTCGTACCATACCGAAATTGTAAGTTTTTGACAAAATTTTTTAAAAAAACTTGGAAATTTCCAAACAAAAAGGGCACCTTTGATGTTAATTTAACATTTACAGCGACATTAGCTTGTACAAAAAGGGCACTTTTCATCACAAAAAAGGGCATTTTCATCACAAAAAAGGGCACTTTTAGTCCTTTGAAAAAATTTGAGGGGGCACATGCCCCCCCCCGGTTCCTACGCCCCTGTACTCGCTTAGTGTTTATATGGACAAAATACATTGCCGGGATGAAGCCATTTAAGTGTTTGACGTCATATTTTTGTTGCAATAAAGGCATTTACGCATGCTCAAAAGGGAAAAATTCATCCAGCCTAGCCGGCATGAAGTGTTTATATGATAATTTTTAGTCCTGGCTAGGCGGGATGAAGTGTTTATATGGGAATTTTTCATTTCGCTCAGGCGGGATCCCGGTATCAGTTGCCAAGATCAGATCCCGGTATCAGATCCCGGTATCAGTGGCGGGATCATATAAACACTCTTTAGAATTTGTATTACGAACGGGATCTCGGTAAGCATACCGTCCCGCCTGGCCGGGATATATAAACAGGCCCTTAGAAGCATAGTGAATCAAAATAGTGTTAGATATTTAGACGGTACATCATGTTTTAAAAAATACAGCAGTTCAAAATGTAAACAAACTGTTTGTTTACATTACGGACTTGACTTCAACATTAAGTAGTGACTAGACGTTTTGCTGCTTGTTGTTGGTATCCACTAGCTACCTACAATAGCCGCATATTGAAATGCGAATAACATCGTATTTGATATGACTGTACAACCACAATAAATATTGAGTCAAAGAATGTATTTCGCTTTAAGTTATTTGGAACACATTAATTACCCATGAAATCCATAGCCAAACTCATTCCAGCATCCATAATAGCAGCTTATATTTACTTCCATTTTGTTGGGAATAAAAGTTATGACAAATGGCTTCTCATCACTGACGACGAGCTTTGCAAAAAAATTCTTCTGTTTGGATCCAAACCGTGATTGTAGCTTTTGCTTCATGTCACTCTTGGTAAGACAAGAGAATTTGGTAAGATTACAAACCAATTTTGTAAGATTACAAATTTGGTAAGATTACAAACCAACCTAGTTTCCACGACTACCCCATACGATTTGAACTGTTATTTACAGCATCGCAGAGATGATTGAATATCACAGCGAAAAGATCACGTTTAAACTCAATAAACCAGGGGTTTCTAGCCCGTGGACTTGCACGCATTCGTCGATTAATGCATTTCGATTAACCAAACTTCTACTTTGGACTTGAGTACCCTGCCCATTGAATCAGTGTGGCGTTCGTGTTTTAGAAATATGTCATATAAGCATTTAACTGCCTCTCGTCGAAACCGATGGCAGCCGTTGAATCGGTTATGTAAAGGTCTAAACTTGTCCACGGATATTTGTATTATATCGTCCAGGTTATCAGACGTTTTTACGGTGGTCATGAGCTTTACTCTTTGCACAAATTTCAACAACTTGTGCGACAGAGAAACACTCCTTCGCACGCGCCATCTTGTTTTTAAGGCTGCAACCGCTGACTAAAGTCGTAATCATTGCCGTTGCAAAATGAGTAAATTTTAAGAACAGCTGACCCGGCGTGATATAGCATTTGTAAATTCTGAACGCTGATTGGCTAAGAGCCGTGTTGATATAACTCGATGTCAACACCGGAAATTTTCCGCCGCTTGTAAACACGAAAATTTTTCGTTTCCTTCGGGCTTTTGACATTGCTATATTATAAAAAAAATATAAAACATTTTTTCCGTATTGATATATAATTATATCAACACACGTGGAATTTGGGAAACTATGGCTAGAAATCTGCGACAGCCAGCGGTTTGTAATGCAGGCGCACGCACCGTCAGTACGTCATGTTAATGAACATATTGAAAAGCCTGAAAGTACGTAAAGAAACGCTCTTTAAATGTATAATTTCCCCGGAGGGGTAGCGGGCCGGCTTTAGGGTTAGTGGTTAGGGTGTGGGGTTAGGAGTTAGGAGGTTAGAGGTTAGGAGGTGGGATTAGAGGATAGGGTTAGAGGTTGGGGTTAGGATTAGGGTTTGGATTAGGATTAACGTTTGGATTAATTGTAGACCCATTACAACCCAATACTTTATTGCATACAATGGCATTACAACGCCAATAAATTATTGGTTAGAACGTGCGGAACGGCTGAATGATAAGTAAATCATGTCAGTGACATAATTATGTCCAACATTTAATAATTTATGTCACTAGCTGATATTATCTCAACTTTATAGAATATGAATCACGAATAAGAATATGAAAAAAAGCAAAATTTCGATGCACTTGCATCGCGTTTTAGCGAAGTAACAAGGCGATTTTAAAATGGATAATAGAGGCAAAATATACCATTCTTTCCTCTACTTGGGAACAGTATTGATATAATATCTTTAGATAAAATTGTGATAAAATTCATGGGGAGAACAAAATGTATCGATTACGATTTATGGAAATCCAATATTGATGTAAGATCAGTCTGAAAACTGAAGCGATTATGGGGTTTCGTCGTGAAAATAACCTGGATTATTAGTAAAGTGCCCGTGATTATACGTGCAAATTACTGCAAAATTGTTTTGCTTCGGGAACAAAGCCTGCATCGAATTTTGAACTGAAACGTGAACAAGTACGTAGCTACGACGATTATCATTCAAGATCGATTTATGGAATCGTCATATTTGGTTTGTAGGACCAATAAAAGCCGAAAAGGCAAGTTAACGTAATGCTTTTCTGGCTATTAAACTTATTCACTTAATATTTACATTACAAAGGAGCTAAGCGTGCGTGGCGGCCATGTTGTCGCAGATTTCTAGCCATGTGACTCGAAATGGTCGGCACTAGATCATAGACAAGATACGCACATATCTGAAACTGCAATACATACGAGTCAGCGGTATTCGATATTTAAAATTCAAATAAATTAGTGCGCGAAATTGGGAAAAACGCGCGAAACCAAAGCAATATGGCTTCCATCGAAGAGTATAGCGATAGTGACCGGGTGCTTGTTTGCGCTTCACAAGCAGAAATGCTTGAGAAATTTGAAGAGTACAAAATAAAAACAAGTAGTGGTTGGAGATGTATCAAATTAAACGCAATTTTTGGTACGTGAACTAATTTCAATATGTAAATTTGTCTTATAAATATTCATACGAATACCGTGTGTGCAATATTTATGAAAGATCCAAATTATGCATACATAAAACCTTTATCGATTTACTGCAGTACTACACTCATATAATAATATAATATGTCTTTATAAAGGTGGAAAGATGCATGTGCTTTAGAATTATATAGTAAAACTCACTGGATAAAAACCTTTCATAAGGGTCCACTCATTAATAATGGGAAGAGCGAAGAGGGAGGGGGGCGGTGGGTGATAGATACCAAATACTGAACATTTTAGAGCCGCCCCAATCGCAAGACCTTTATTTTCAAGATGCCCCCACCTTAATTTAGAAATTTAGGACCCCCCTCCAACATTTAATATTTGTTACTTAGTTGGTGTAAAATAGGTAATGGGACAAGTACTGGTGTTAAGATATTGTGTAGCCTAAATAATAAGAGGACCAGTATTCAAAATGGTTGTTATTTACTCTGACTCCTATCGTGAACTGTATATACGTAATAAACTATGGAAACTACGATTATAGGAACTAAAAAAGGTGGGATATTTTGTGGGATACGATAAAGGCAAGAGATTGAAAATGAGTAGGAAAGTATTAAAAATTTGGGGTCACCCCTTGTCACATATTTTGAGGACACCCCCAATTCAGGCAAAAATATAGTTGAAGCTGCCCCCCTCTTCTCACCCACCGCCCCCTCAGTGGCGTAACGCTCACTAGGTAGGGTTAGTTCAAAAACTAAGGGCCCCCGACAGTTAGGGCCACCCAT